TTGTTTTTTGTTTTTGCTTTGTTTGTGACTGTAAATTGGTTATTTTATTTTACATCTTGTTGTTGCTTGTATATATGAAAGTCACTGATTTTTGTATGTTGATTTTGTTTTTTACTCCAGCTTTATTGAGGTATTATTGACAAATAAAATTATACATATTTAAAATGTACAACATAATGACTTGATATACATATACATTGTGAAATGATTACTATAATCAAGTTCATTACTACCTCCAAAACCTTTGGTGTGATGAGAATGCTTAAGCTCTAATCTCTTAGCAACTTTCAAGTATTCAACATGATATTATTAACTATAGCTGCCATGCTGTACATTAGATCGCATAACTTATATATCTTATAAATGTAAGGTGTACTCCCTGACCAACATCTGCCCATATCTCCTACCTCCTAAACCTTAGAAACTACCATTCTACTGTTCATATGAGTTTGACTTTTTTTTTGTTTTTTTTTGATTCCTCATATAAATGAGATCCTATAGTAATTGTGTTTCTCTGTCTGACTTATTTCATTTAGCATTATGTCCTTTAGGTTCATCCATGTTGTTACAAAGGGATTTCCTTCTTTTCATCAGTGAATAGTATTCCACTGAATGTGTGTGTATCTCTGTGTACATATGTATACAGTACATCTTTTTTATCCATTTATTCATGGAGCACTTAAGTTGTTTCCATATCTTGACTACTGTGAATAATGCTGCAAAGAACATGCATTTCCTTAAGCTGTATAACCAAAAGTGGAATTTCTGGATAATCTGGTAGTTCTAATTTTAATTTTATGAGTAAACTCCATACTATTTTCCACAGTGGCTGCACCATTTTGCATTCCTACCAACAATATACAATGATTCCCTTTTCTCCACATCCTCAGCACTTGTCATCTATTGGTCTTTTTAGAATAACCATCCTAACTGATTTGAGGTGATATATTATTGTAGGTTTGATTTACATTTCCCTGATAATTAGCAATGTTGAGCAGATTTTTATATGACCTGTTGGCCATCTGTATGTCTTCTTTGGAAAAAATGTCTATTTGGGTCTTTTGCCCATTTTTTAATTGGATTATCTGGTTTTTTGCTCTTGAGTTCTATGAGTTCTTCATATGTTTTTGAAATTAACCCTTTATCAGATATGTCATCTGAAAATATTTTCTCCTATTCCATAGGTTTCCTTTTCACTCTATTGATTGTTTCCTTTGCTGTGCAGATGCTTTTTAGTTTGATGTAGTCCCACTTGTCTAATTTTGTTTTTGGTGCCATATGCAAAAAATCATGTAATGATCTCTCTCTTCACAGGTGACATGAACTGTTACATATACATATATATCTGTGTGTATATATATATAGACATACACACACAAACACACATATAGTCCTTTAAAATCAACAACAAAAAAAGACGAGGTAACAATGAGTTCATCAAAGTTGCCGGATACAAGACCCATGCAGAAAAATCAGTTATATTTCTGTACACTTGTTAGTTTGAAAACTCCTTGGGAGCTTCCAACATGTAATCTGAAACTGGGCCCCCTTATTTGGAGGAGAGGGAGAGACTGAAGAAAGAGACAGGCTCCTCCTCCAGGTTGGCAGGTGGCAGGTTAAATAAGCAAGGGAACCTACTCTGAGGCTTGTCTTAGGCAGCCACAACATGAGAAGATCTTTGCACTCACTCCAGCACATGTTAAAAATTTATATAGAGGCCTTAACTAGGGTTCAGTCATGTATACCATCCAGACAATCTTAATACCACATCACTATCTCAAGGCTCTGTCCTTGGGGCAACTTCTGGGAGCAGAACAGGCAAGCAGACTACACATTCCTAGACGAGGGGAGGGTGTGAGGAGCCTCCAGTTGCCCAGGTCCAGCTCACAAGTCAACCAGTGGTTATGTCTTCCCAATGACCTCCCCCAACATCACTAACTATGAGCAATCTAAAACTAAAATTCAGAAGACAATTCCATCTAAGGTAGTATGAAAAGAATAATATACTTAGGAATAAATTTAACCATAGAAGTATAAGACTTACACACTGAAAACTAAAAAATGTTGTTGACAGATATTGAAGAAGGTGTAAATAAACAGAAGGACATCTTATGTTCATGGATTGGAAAACTTAATATACTTAGGATGACAATGCTCCCCAAATTTATCTACAGATTAATTGCAATCCCTATCAAGATTCTAATGGACTTTTGTGCAAACTAGAAGAGCTGATCCTAAAATTTATATGAAATACAAGAGACTCATAATATCCAAGACAATCTCTAAAAGAACAAAAGTGAGGCACTCACCATTACCAAGTTCAAAACTTACTACAAAGCTGCAGTAATCGGAGCAGTGTGACTGGCATAAGGATAGACATATAGATCAAAAGAACAGAGCCCAGTAATAAACTACACATGTATGGTCAATTGATTGTCTCACATCAAAAGCAAAAACTAATTCAAAATGGATGAAAGACTTAACTGTAAGAGCACAAATTATAAAACTATTAGGAGAGAATATAGGTATAAATATCCATGATTTTGGATCAGGCAAAAAGGACAAGCAGCAACAACAAAAATATAGTTAAATTAGACTTCATCAAAATTAAAACTTTTGTGCTTCAAAAGACACAATCAAAAAAGTGAAAAGACAAGCCATAGAATGGAAAAAATATTTACAAATCATGTGTCTGATATGGGTGTATTGTCTATTTTATACAAAGAATTCTTACAACTCAACAATAAATAAAAACTCACTTTTTAAATGGTCAAAGGATCTGAATAGACATTTCTCTAAAGAAGATACTATAAGCACATGAAAAGGTCCTCAACACCATTAACCACCAGGGAAATGCAAATCTAAACCACAATGAGATCCCACTTCATACCCACTATGAAGGCTATACTAATCATAATTTTAAAAGAACAAGTTTTGGTGGGGATGTAGAGAAATGTAAAAATGTAAAATGGTGCAGCCATTTTGGAAACAGTTTGGCATTTCCTCAAAAAAATATAGAGTTACTGTATGACCCAGAAATTCCACTCTCTAGGTACATACCCAAGAAAATTGGAAACACGTTCATACAAAAACTTGCACACAAATGTTCACAGCAACATTACTCACAATAGCCAAAAGGTGGAAAAAACCCAAATGGCCAACAATAGGTAATGATAAACAAAATGTGTTATATCCATACAACATTATGCAGCCATAAAAAAATGAAATATTGACACATGGCTAAAACATGGATGAACCTTGAAAACATTACATAAGTGAAAGAAGTTGGATACAAAAGACCAAATACTACAATTCTGTTTATATGAAAAGTCCAGAATAGGCAAATTGATAGATACAGAAAGTAATTAATGGTTACCAGAGCCACAGAGAGAGGGCATAGCCAGTGACAGCTAATGGGTACAGGGTGTCTTTCTGGGATGATGAAAATGTACTAGAATTAGGTAGTGGTAATAGTGGCATGATCTTGTGAATATACTAAAACCCACTGACTTTTTCATTTCTTAAATGGTGAACTTAATGGTAAGTGAATTATATCTCAATTTAAAAAATTAAATTAAATTTTTAAAGAAACAAGAGGGAGCCTTGCACAGACCAATGATGAAAATGTACTATAAACTCAAGAGTTTAACTCAAACCTCTGTACCTGGAGGATAGAAAGGAATACTGGTAAAATTGAGTGTGGGAAATCATATAGGGAGAAAGTGCCTCTCATACATTGTTGGTGTCAGTATAAACTGGCATGTTCTTTAGGTAAGCCATTTAGTTGTATCTATAAAATATAATAATAATAAAGCACATATTCTATGATCCAGGATTTTCATTTGTAGGAGCTAAAGTCAATGTGTGGTGGGTACAGTTAGCACACAGTGAATGTTCTTGCCTATAACAAGGTGCTGATTACAGGGAGAGATAATAAATTGTGCCATAAATTCCTGCGGCCAAATTCAGGTCTCACTTCTCCTTCTTTTTGGAAAAAGAATAAGTCAATGTTTATACCATAGGGTGATTTGGCCATGAAATTTCTGCACTGTTAATGTTTGCAAGCTACATAAACTGGAAAGCAAGATTCTCCCCTAAAATATAAGGTCGTTTCCAGAGATACAGAGCATATACTAAAAGAAGAGTTAAAGACTCTCTTCTAGAGTTCCAGCCTGTTGATAACAGGGATACAGTGGGGTGGGAGTAAAAGGGGGGCAGGAAACAGTTTGAGCCTCAGCCAAACCCCTTGAAGCTGCAAAAAGCCAAGAAATATTCTGTGACTTATGCATGAGGCCCAATAAAAATCAGCAATGACCATACAGCCATTGGCAAACAATGACTACTAACAGAGGTGATGGCGTGAGCCTGTATCATTTGTTTTCCTTTAATTCTTCCTCCAAATGGTGACTCCCTTTAAATACAGCGTTACTGTTATTTGTCAACACTGCGCTTGGATCATCAAAAAAGAGTTCTATCAATGCAGAAAAGGCACACAGAAAGGAGCATGATGTCGGCCTACTCTTCCAATGAATCTTACCCAAGCCTTTCAGCCCATGAAGACATACTCTGAAGTCAACTTGCCCGAGTGGCAGGGAAAGGGCCAAGCAGTGAGAACTAGCCCCTGAAATCCACCCCACACACTGAAAGGTGGCAAGTGACAGCTAATCCTCCAGGATGCTCACTGCATTGTCGTTCCTCAGGAGCTGGTCCTACGCAAGCACGAAGGGTCATCAGCCTCCCCCTCCACCAGCCCCAGCGTGGTGAGATGTGGGGGTCGGGGGAGGGGTGGGCAGGGATTGTGACATAAACAAACGGCCTCAGGCTGGTCTATGTAAATGCCGGCGCTGGAGCTTCCTGGTGAACACACCGCCTGCGCAGGCCTCTAGCAGCCAACCTCTCGCTGACAGCCTCCGCGGGCACCGGGGCAGCAGGCGGCGCTCCAGGATCCGAGAGCGGTGCTGGTGGAGGAGGCGGCCGAGCCCTGGGGCAGGCGACAACCATATAGGCGTCATGGAGACCGCCGCGTGTGTCTGCTCTCCCTGCTGCACGTGGCAGAGATGCTGTCCTGAGCTGTGCTCCTGTCTGTGCTGCAAGTTCCTCTTCACCTCTGAGCGGAACTGCACGTGTTTCCCCTGCCCCGACAAGGACGAGCGCGACTGCCAATGCTGCCCCAGCACCTGCGCCGAGAACCCCAACCGCCACTGGTGCTGCTGCTCCTGGGCCAACGACCCCAACGGCAAATGCCGTGCACAGCCAGCAGCGACCTGCGCTGCTGCTACTACGAGAGCTGCTGTTGCCACGGGGCCACAGTCGCCTTTCCCCGGGGCCGCCTGCGCAGCATCCGCACCTCGTATGTGCCTCGCCCGCGTACGCGACCCTCCCCGACAGCCGGGGCCCTGCGTCTGCGCTGGCCGCCTCGGGTCTGTGCCCTCCGCCTCTCCGTCTGCAGGGAGGAGGCCCGGAGTGTCGTCGCGATTAAGTGCGTCCTCACAGCCGCTCGGCGCGGAGAGACCTGAGTTCTAAGCCCAAACTCAGCAGCTGCGCGAAGGAGCACCGCGCGCTCCTGAACTCGAGCGCGGATCCCCCGCCTGCAGCAAAACAGTCCTAGCTGCTGCAGCTTAGGCAATTTGCCCACGGACCCTCGCCCCGTGCCCTCACACCAAAGAGGAAATAAGCCTTCGAGAGGTTAAGCTGCAGAGGACCACACAGCTAGTAAGATGCAGTCAGAATCTGAACCCAGACTCTGCGTTTTTAACTGTTGCAAAATGGAGGGCATAATGCCTGCTGTGGTGAAGTGGGTATGCAGATGAATGCCTGTGCTTTGTAATCTGTTATGAGCTACAATGTAAATTCTCTTCCTCCTCTTCCTCTAAGCTCTTGATATCTGTAGCACTTACTGGAAAAATTCATAACTTCCACAAGCCACTTTCGTCCCATATGGTCCATGTAAGTTCCCCAGATGGCCATGAACTCTTGCCAACCTTCTCTTTGTTCCTATCCAGAAGCTGTGGGACATGGGGTCCCAGTCATGCCCCTGGACCTTTAACCCTCTGTGTCAGGCGCTGTGTATCCTCTTCCCACTCTGACCAAGGCAGTCTTTGTACGTCACACCTGAGGGAAGTCTGGAGTAGCAGGGGCAGACTTCTTAGAGTAAGAAGGATCAAAGCTTCAAACTATAAGATGACAGCATTAGGAGGGGCAGTTTCATAGCCTTTCAAGGCTGCAAAAACAGTTCTATGAGCAAAGGTTCAGTGGATTCAGGGGAAGAGTATGATCCACCCTGCAGTTCAGCACTTGATAGATGCTTAATAAGTGTTCGTCTCCACTCGTGGACCCCTCCCAGAGGGTGCATGAGTGGAGGACTCAGGGATCTGGATGGCAAGCCAGAAGCTCTAAGCTGCGGAACGTAGCATCCACACTGCTCTCTCCTCTCAAAGGCCCCATTTTCTGCACATCAGCCATGGAGAGTCCCTGAGCCCTTTTCGGCAGGGAAAGAATGACACTGGCGCCTTGGGAAGATACGTTAGGCCAGCAGCTCCCAACCTTTGCCTGGCATTACCATCACCCAGGGATCTTTAAAAACTGCTGATGCCTGGCCTCTACCCCCAGACACTCTGATTACATTGGTCTGGAGTATGACCTGGGCATCGGAATTGTAAAAGCCCCCACACACACACTGAGTGATTCTAAAGTGCAGAATGGTCTGGAGGTAACAAGGAGAAGCCAGTAAATTTGCCAAGTTAAGAGCCCAGGTACAAGGAACCAGGCCTAAATGGATGAGGAGTGGAGGGCACTGTGCTGAGGAGCAAAAGCCAGATGTCTCAGCCTGAAGGCAAGGCTGCTGGTGACCATTTTGGCAGGGAACCGTGGCTATTGAGTGCTGGGGCCCCAGCCTGAGGCTCTTGGGGGATGAGCACAGGCACTCTTGCCAGCGTCAGAGCTCTGCCATGGGTGCAGCCCAGGCTCCCTCCCATCCAACCTCCCTCCGGTTGCTGGCCCACTGCCTCCCCTGCTGCTCGTCGCTACACCCTGCTCAGCATCTGGACAGAGCTGCCTTCCCCTAGCTTTGTTCATCCATCTCCACCTTCTTCATCCCTTCTTCTTCTTACCTCCTGTCTCACCTCCACCCCAGCTCCTGGGCCATTGGCCCCTATCTCTCAGCCCTCCCTCCTCCTTCCTGATTTCTCAAGTTGCAATATCTCCCTTTACATTACACTCTGATTCCCAGAGTCCCGCCCTATCATACCAGAGAAGTCCATCCAGCCACTGTGTGTCCACCTGGTCCGCAGCTCCAGGCGACCCCCTGAGGGTTCAGGCAGGAAGCTGGGAAAGCAGAGAGGGAACCGGGCTGAGAACACGGAGGCCCGCAGGCCTGGAGCCCAGCATTCAAATCCCAAGGGAGGAGCTTCCCAGTGACTGAATGTCTACAAGGGGCACTCTCTGCCACCACAGGGTCACTGATTCCAGCACGCTTAGGCAGCACCTTTGACGGTCTGGCCTGAGACATAGGTCCCTGGCTAAGGGAGTGAGGAAGGAGACAAGGGCACAGAGGGACTGCAAGAAGCCAGGAACAGAAGAGACCAATGCCCAAACAACACTATGTGAACAGAGGAGAAGAAATAGGAAGTCACAAATTGTGTATACGTTTACACCTCTATTGGCACAGCTAACTATTTTTACGGTGATTGTGGCTTCTTAGAACATGCACTTGAATTTTATAAGTATCCTTTTGCTTCATCCTTAGTTCCTACAATTAAATGTATTAAATCAGCCTCAGATAGTAAACAAAGAATCAGCACACACACAACGGTAGAAGCACACATGTTCATGGACTTGTCTTCTTCTACTGTGGACATTAGCTGGCTAGTAGCAGAGGGGAATAGTTACAATGGCCACATTTACTGAATGTTTACTAGGTACTAGCAGTCAGTCACTCATCGCGAATTATCTATCAGGTATGGAGGTGAAGTCCCTGTGAAGGAAGTAGTAGCGTGAGCTTTGATTTACAGATGAGAAAACTGAGAATGAAAAACATCTCAAACAACAAATCTAAAGTGGTGAATTCTATCTAGTCTTCCCCTAGAGCCTAGACCTTAACTCTTAGCTCTTGGTCAGGTGGTCTGAACACACAGGTTCTATGAATGGCTCAGGGACTGACCTCCTGGAGTCCTGGGAAGGACTCCTGATGCATCCTCTTCTGTGTCCCATCCTACCTACAATAAATAATAATATAACAATAATAATGTCAATGCCCTCCAAGTAAAACCACCAAGAACACAAGTGTGGTTGGATGAGACTGGATTTATTGACTCACTGCAACAAGTGAGAACTCACAGCAAGGCAAAGTTGAGAAGCCTCGGTAAGAGACATCAGTAAGTTACTGTAGGATTTAGGTACATGCTTGGTGAGGGTGTGAGGGCAAAAATCCTATTGGGTATCTTAATAAATCTTCTCTAGAAGGTGGGAAGAACACAGTGAGCCTCATGCTGCCATCAGTGGAAACACAGCAGTCACTTCCATCAACCAATTAGGGGAGGTTTGGTCCTGTTAGTGGTTTGGACTTCCTTTTGTCTGCATTCAAACAGGATGAAGTGGTCTGGTTTCCACTTTGCGCCATCACAGTCCCAAAAGGGCTGTGTCTGATATTGGTGGTCTATGATATTGTTGGCGGCCAATAGGACACCAAGGCCCAGCTGACAGTGCCAGGCCAGTCTGAGCCGCTTTTCTCTGGCTCAGAAATAACAAGCAGTCGCAGAGCACTTCCTGTGTACCAGACACTGCTCTAAATAAACCCTTGCCGGTATTAACTTTAATTTTAATCCTGAGCCTGCCTCCTAAAGCCCTCCCTGCATTTGCTCCTGCTTCTAGCTCCAAGACTGCCCTGCGCATCAGGAGCAGCAACACCCAGGTGGAGGATGTGAAGACTATGCCAGTGAGCAGCCACCTGGTGCACCATCTCTCGTGCCCCAGGTGCAATCGGCTGCGCCTCCACTCCTTCATGCTGCCCTGCCACCACAGCCTGTGTGAGAAGTGCCTGCGGCAGCTGCAGAAACATGCCGAGGTCACAGAGAACTTTTTCATCCTCATCTGCCCTGTGTGCAGCCGCTCGCACTGCATGCCCTACAGCCACAAGATGCATCTGCCCGAGAACTACCTGCGCGGGCGCCTCACGAAGCACTACATGCAGCAGCATGGCTACCTCAAGTAGCGCTCTGACTGCTCCACCGGGCCCACCCTCTGTCAGGTCTGCTGCAGCCGGCGAACCGCCTACAAGCGCTGCATCACCTGCCGCCTCAACCTATGCAACGACTGCCTCAAGACCTTCCACTCGAACATGGCCATGCAGGACCATGTCTTCGTGGACACCAGCACCAAGGACCAGGACGAGAAGGTCTGCATCCACTACCCATCCAGACACATCATTGAGTACTGCCACAATGACAACAAACTGCTCTGCACCTTCTGCAAGGCCACCCTCCACAACGGCCATGACACTGTCAGCCTCATCGACGCCTGCTCCAAGAGGGCCAAGTTCAAAGCAGGTCCGGGCCCCCTTTTCTCCTCTCTGAACTCCAGTTCGGGCACTGATGGGGGGAATGACCTAGGCAGTCTGCACAGTGAGAGCCTTACCTCCGCCTGGTGAGGCAATCCAAGCACAGGGGAAAGCGGAGCTAGGCTGCAACTTACTGCCCTGAGGTTCACCCCCAGCAACAACCACCAGCCGCCTAGCCTCCTTGTGCCTTAGTTTCCTCCCCTGTAAAATGGGGGTAATCGTAGTACTGCCCTCCGTGGGTGGCTCTGAGGATTAAACGAGTTACTCTCCACGAGTGTGCAGAAAACTACATGGCACATAGTAAGTGCATAAGGATTGTATAATCTTGGTTGTAATCTTCATGACCCTGGGCCTCATTTTCTCCTTCGGAAGATGGAAGCTTTGATCCTGTAGTGTCCTGAAGTTCTGTGAGCCTCTCTTAGGTGTTTTGTCAGTAAAGTTGGATTTCTTCAGTATTTTCCTGATCTGTAGGGGAAAGAATGAAGTCAGTGTTAGAATTATCTCATTATCTCAATTTTAAATTTTACTGACAGATTCTTCCCAAAAGTTGCGAACAACAAAGTAAGTGAACTGGTAGCAAACACATAATAAGAAGAAAACTCAGAAATAGCCAAAAATGGTCTGGTCAACAGCTTGTTTTTCCTCTGCATGCCTGCTTGTGGTTATTTTATACTAGATACATAGAATATAGTATATATAGTATGTGTGTTTATATAGATATATATACATATATCTATATACACACACATACACATGCATATACATATATGTATACAGATGAGACTGACTCTCATTTCCACAATGGAACTCAGTACAGCAGTATTTTACAGAGCTCCACAAAGAACCCCATAATTTCTGGGTGTTTGTCCACCTGATTAGACATGAGGATATCAGGGATTCTTTCAGGGCTTTTTGCCTCTGGTAATAACTTCCTTGAATAGAGGCCTACTTAACCCAGGATTGTGTCTAAACACAGGAGAGGCAAATTTTCTCTGAGCTACACAGAAATGTCCTATTGGACAGAGAGGTGTGTCCGACATGGACTTTGCTAATTCTGTCACCCAGGGCCTCTCACCAGCATGAATATTTCAGGAATACCTTGTTTCTCAATTGGCCCATACCTGGTAGCATTGTCAAACAATGTTTATTCAGGTTTGGAACCACTACCAGGGAAGCCTCTACATTAAAGAAACCCGCCAGGGGCCATGTCGCCAGCAGTGAGAGTCCCATAGGTTCACAGAGGGTTTTCTGAAGGTGGACCCCCTGCCTGGGGTTGGCTAGGTTCTCTGGGGTCTCAGCAGGGGGAAGGGGCTGCTGCCTGAAGCCTGCTGTAGACCCCATGCAGTCATAGCAAGAGTGGGTCTTTAACACAGGAGAAATCTAGGAGAGTTTTCTCCAGTCTAGGGCACCTAAAAGTCAGACAGTGAGGTTTAATTCAGGGTAAGAGGGACACCAGTACAAATTCCAGAGGTAGGGAGAGAGCAGGGACCACTTTCATGACATATCCATTCAGATACAGGTAAAGGATTTAGCCTATCCTTGCTAAAGGAGCTCCCCCCCACCAAATTTTTTTAACCAGTGTTTAACCTTGCTTTTATGGACTCACTTCACTTTCAGGAGCAGGGGGTGCCATAAATCTTCATTTTAAACAGATCTCCAGGTAATTCAAAAACAGGTGATCTGAGAACATACTTTGGGAAATTCTGGGCCCTAAAGAAATGCATGCCCCTGTCATAGCATCCTCTGCACTGTAGCGTCATTGAACTTAGGAGTCCCTTAAGCACTGGTGCCCTCTCATATTCATATCTGTATCCCTTGTGCCTAGAAAGCCATGTGACATGTAACAGGCATCCCGTATATGTTTGCTAAATGACTGAATCAACTTAAAATACAAATACCTTGTGAGAGGACACAAGATGAATTGGGTTCTCCTAGAAATGTAACAGTGGACTCATTCTTTTTTTTTTCGTATCATTAATATACAATTAATTGAACAACATTATGGTTACTAGACTCCCCCTATTATCAAGTTCCCCCCACATACCCCATTACAATCACTGTCCATCAGCGTAGTAAGATGCTATACAATCATTACTTGTCTTCTCTGTGTATAACAGTGGACTCATTCTTTTTTTTTTTCAACACACACACTTTTTTTATTAGGGTATCATTAACATACACTCTTATGAAGAATTCACATGAAAAACAATGTGCTCACTACATTCAGCCATATTATCGAGACCCCCCCATACCCCATTGCAGAACAGCGGACTCATTCTTTTTTTTTTTTTTTT